ACGGGAGCAACTTGTGTGAAAACTCGTAAGCTTACCCCTCTGCGTCCGCGCTTCCAAACGGTCGGTACGTCACTTTCGATGAAGGGAGAGTCAATTTTGGTAGTAGGCCGGAGTACCCGATGCACGGGCGACTGAGTTGCTGTCGGGACCGTTTTTGAAGGTATGACGGTCGGCGGGGTGGGATGCTCATCCGGTTGGTCCTGTTGATGGGGTGGAGTTTGCAGCTTCAATTGTGATATTGTGGAAACTTTGACTGTCTCAGGAGTCGGTGGAGAGGGCTGGGGTGGAGGGCTAAGAACCAACTTGTTTTGGAGATAGGATGGTCTTAGGGGAGCACGTGATACCGACTTCTTGCCGACCTTACTGTAAAATATACATAGAAGCAAATTCAGGGCTTTCAGCTAGAAAATTATATGGACGATTTAAAATGAGGGAAAAATCGACCAAAAGAAGACGACGTATTTGTAAACGGCTCCTCGAAAGTCCAGAGATACAGGGCCCGGAAAGCAAGCACACGTTTTTTATGTCACTGCAGAATAAATATGTTATGCGACTGAAACCTTTGATAATTAAAAACAGCTGCCGGAACATTTTAAATCGACAGCCAAGTGTCTCAGGAGGACGAGAAAGCAACATAGTTAAGGTTGAAAATCAAGTCACTAAATTACCACATATTATGGGTTTTGAGCACCTAAGGATTCTACGAACATAAATAAATTCAGTTGTAGACAAGCTCAATCGTCCTTGCACGTGTTTATAGGTATTTCAGACTACGCAATTTAGTGCTATATATCGGGGCTTAAATGCGGTTCGGGAATTGACTGGCTGGATGATGTTTAGTTCACTTCGGGGGTAGAAAATTCAAGCTGTGTAAGCGCGCACATGTCAGGAAGACTTTCATTCGGTCATTATGCCTATTTTTACGATGAGGCCTAAGCTAATTAAATCTCATTAAGGTCAAAACTGTTCAGATGGATATGGTCTTCATTAAAGGTGACTGATGAACAACGTATACGAAAACTAAAATCTGAAAAGACGGGTGACTATTCAGTTATACCTGTCTTTACCAACATTATTTTACAGTCTAACAACCTGCGATTAAATCTACTATGCAAGTCAGTAAATGTGACTTGCTTGAAGATTTAACAAGTGCAGTAAATGGCACAGAAAGCATTTAACAATAAAAACAAACTGAAGGGAAGGCCTGCTTCTCTTTAATAAAGTGACTGATCTCGGGGAAGATAGAGAAGGAAAGCGACAAGAATACCTGAGAGGACTGGACACCTCAATAAAGAAGCTCAGGAAATTTTCTGAATGAAAGCAATCATTTCTAAACAAACTTCCCAGAGAAAGTACGGGAGTTTTTTTTATAGGCAATAATCTCAGGTTCTCTTTCCTATCACAGGCCACATCTGAAAACAAGGCGCGGGAGAACAGGTATGAAGATTTGTACGCTACTTTGTTCGGAAAAATTACGCAAAGACAATATTTAAGAGAATTTCGCGTAAATTAATAGCGACAGCTGAAGGTTATTGAACAGGGGGAGCTAGATAGTTTTGCACAGTGGGGGTTGAGAGAAAATTAAATTCATCGTAGATATAGTGTCTAGCGTTGCTCTGTTATAGCATCGTGCCGCTACATTTCGCCATCGTTTCCAGCGCGAACAAGCAGAAAATGTGCTTTTATTCACGATTTCTACAGCGACCGGCCGTCGCCCTGTAAGGAATTGTTATTAAGGAGTGCACATGCTAATCCAAACAGGGCATGCTGTACTATACTATATATATAGGATTGCGGAAAAGTAGTTGATTCAAATGTGCGGGAACTGCCTCAAGCGTTAATTTACAGAGTTTAATTAAGTGAATATTTTTTTAATGAGTGATCACCTGGGACGAGAGTTATCATTGAGAAGTACCAAAAATCTGGAACGATTTTGATCGCCTTGGAACATGGAAATACTG